GCCGCTGGGACGGCCGCGGATTGGGGTCTGTGGCGAAGCGGAGGGTAACGGAAGGAAAAACGGATCCAAACGCAACAAGACCCTTCAGCGGCGGGTCGTGTGCGGACAGTAGGAAGGACTGGGTCGGTGGAAGGTCACCCACACGGGGCGGAGGAGGGGCGGGCGGGATCGGGGGTTAACGCGCAGCATGGAGCAGGCGAGTGATGGGGAAACACGGATCTCCCCCTGGCTGGCTCAGTCGACTGCTTGGACATCGGGCCAGCGTTTGGATCAGTTCAGCGCTTGCCGCCCGGCTGCGGCATTGTAGCCATTCCACTCCCGGCCTGACGGCCAGCCTGCAACTGACCCAACGTCCCCGCAAACTCGCGCCACCCCGGTCCGCGAGCGTTCCCTGCTGCGTATTCTCTCGCCATCCCGCGCATCGCAGCTCCCGCAGACGGCCATAGGGACCCTGTGCGGCGACTGAAGACCGTCCGCCGACCTCCCATCTACCCCAATGGAGCCCAGGCCATCTCCCCTGTAGCTCCCTCACCCCTCTTCCGCTGTCCTCACGCCGTCCATCGGTGTCCTTCGGTGGATTCGGGCTAAGTACATCCCGCTGGCAGCAAGATGCCTGATGTATGGGCGGCGGCCGCTGTAGCGTTCCTCCGGGGCACGCGAAAGACGACCGGAGGAACAGTTCGTAGGTCGCCGTCGACGAGGTACAGCTTCACTGGACTGGCCTGATCGTTCAGTGTGTCGCCGGGCTGGAGATAAAGAAGGGCGGCCAGCATGTGCTGGCCGCCCTTGAACGCTCGTCAATTTCGACGTTGAATTACCGCAGCGGCGCGGAGTAGATCTGTCCGCCCTTCGGGCAGTCCTCGCATGGCGCCGCGCTCCACAGAGCGTTCCGATCGCCGTCCGACCTCGGCAGATTGATGCCGTTCGGGCCGAGGTTCCGGGCATAGATCTCGCCATAGTTGCCCACGGCGCGAATCACGTCCTGTGCCGCGGTATTGCTGATGCCCAGGCTTTCCTGGCCGTACGAGCCTTCGAGGCCGAAGAGCCTGTCAACCTTGGTGTCGCCGGTGACCGAGGTGGGCACGTTGCTGGAGCTCACGCCGTAAGCCTCGGCATAGATGAGTATGCCCATGACGGTCTTGACTATGTCGAACCACTGGTCATCGCCGTGAGGGACCACGGGACCAAGCGGCTCCTCGGAGATCGTCTCCGGCAAGATGGTGTGCGCATCCTGGTCGGCTAGGGCCGTGCTAAGGACCGCAAGCTGCGAGCGATCGTTTGTGAAGGCGTCGCACTGGCCCGCTTCATAGGCGGCGACAGCCGCGTCGGTGTCCTCGAATGTCAGCGGCTCAATGTTCAGACCGTTCTGGTTTGAAAAGTCCTGCAGGTTCAGTTCCGTCGTGGTGCCCTGAGTCACACATACGGACGCACCTTGGAGTTCCAGGGCGCTGCTAATGCCCAGATCCTTCCGGACCAAGAAGCCCTGACCGTCGTAGAACATCGTCTGAGCATAGTTACCCCACTGGGAGTCGCGCGATGTGGTCCAGGTAACTGTTCGGACGAGCATGTCGACTTCGCCGGACTGGATGGTCGGCCCGCGCTCGGCGGCCGTGATCAGGCGAATTTCGATTTTGTTGGGATCGCCCAGGACCGCGGCAGCCAACGCGCGGCAGAGGTCTATGTCGAAGCCTACGTTGTTGCCCGATGCATCGAGGTAGCCGTAGCCGGGCACGTCGTTCCGGCTGGCGCAGATGACCTTGTCTCTGCTCTTCACCTCTTGCAGCCTTTCCCCGGTGGCCACCGTCATATCTTCGGCCATTTCTCCCACTCTTATCGCGGTGACGCCCCCCTCCGAGTTGCCATGGTCGTCAATGAGGTCTGAAAGGGACACCGTCAGCGTGTAAGTGCCTGTGCCGTAGCCCTCCACCGCAACGTAACGCTCGCCGGAACTGGGAGCTTCCCAATAGAGGCGCGAGGCATAGGTTTCCCCGTAGTCGTCGCTGGAGTCCAGAAACGACCAGTCGACGTCGTACAGCTCTACTATCGAGTCGTCCAGCGTTCCCAGCGCCACGTCTATCTGGTAGCTCTGTCCCCGCTCGGCTTGGAAACGGAAGAAGTCGATGTCACCATCGTAGTCCACTGCTCCCCGAACATCCGCTCCCACTCTTATCGCGGTGCGCGTCGTCTATGTCATTGCCGTGATCGTCGGGCACATCCTCGTGTCGTCGGGCACATCATCCGGGTCTATACAGCCGGCCTCTATCATCTGTTGAAGGACAGTCCTCGGGCAGCCGGGCGGCAGCCTCCCTTAACTTTTCTTCTGAATCGGCTGATATGGCCGCCATTAGGAAGAAGCGGGCGAAGTCTATGACATCGTCCTTGGGCTGTAAATCAACAAAAGCCTGGATCGTGCGAAAGCCCTCAATGTTCAGCAAGTGCCACTCAGACAGTTGGGCAGGCGGGGTCAGCGCCTCCAATCTATCCGCCTCCGCCGCAAATAGAGAAGAGAGTCACCAAAGGTGGCGTCATCCGCCAGTTCCTGCTCTGTCGTGGCGCAGAGCGTCAGGTACTCGTCAAGGGATAAGGTCGCCGTTGCAGGCGTTGGCACCGGCGCGGCGGTGTTTGTCGGAGCCGGCGTGGGAGTAGGCGTTGGCACCGGCGTGGGGGTGTGTGTCGGCGCCATGGTGGGCGTAGGCGTTGGCACCGGCGTGGGGGTGTTTGTCGGAGCCGGCGTGGGGTAGGCGTTGGCACCGGCGTGCGTGGTGCTTTTCGGAGCCGGCGTGGCGGTTTGCCGGGGCCATGGTGGTAGCAGGTGTCGGTTCCGGCGTGGGCGTGTGTGTCGGAGCCATGGTGGGCGTAGGCGTAGCGTGACTCCGGGCTGTGCCGTAACGGTGGGACTGGGGACGGCCCCAGCCGACGGCGTGGGGCTTGGCTCATCGGAACACCCGGCCAGCAGTATGGCAAGGAGTATCGCACTCGCGCATAGCAATCCAAGGGCAATGGACTTTGACATTATCACTCTCCTCGGTGCAAGATTCAGTGCCACGATCGCGTCTACATTAGCCTTCCGCATGACGCGCCGTAAGGTTCGTTTGTACCTACTTGAAGGGGTACTCTTGTACCCGTCCGATAAGGTACGGTCGACCTTGCCGTCGTCGTCGAGCAGCGTTCATCATTTGCTCTAGTCGAGGCTTGAAAATGCAGATTACGCCGCGCGATGCGATTGCAGGGCCACGCCGGGAGCCTGATCTGACCGATCCGGACGACCTGCGATACAGCCTGAGGATTTCGGTATGGGTGCGATGGTTTCTTCTGATAGCCTGGCTGTTGCAGTTCAACTACCGGCCCAATTTCGGGGACCCTGTTTATATTCCGACCACGCTGTTGCAGGATCGTTGCTGGCCCTCAACGGCTACGTTCACTATCGCATCCAGTCGAATCGGACGGTCACGCGGCGCTGGGCGCTCGCTCTCAGCGTGATGGACGCGGCGATGGTTACGGCGGGCATCGCGATCTCATCCAGTGGCTTTCAGAACAGTTTCTTCGTGCTGTACTACCCCGCCCTCGCCATGTTCGCCGTGGTGTTCACCTCCTTCAGGCTCAGCTTCGCCTGGGCCACGATGGTTGCCGTCGTGTACGCGGCGTTAAGCCTGGTGATGGAGCCGGGCGTCGAATACGAGATCAAGGAGGAGAAGATATTGTTCACCAGGATCGTCGTCATGTACGCGGTAGTCGCGGCGGTCAACCTGGTCTCCAGGTTCGAGCGGACCAGGAGGAGAGAGGCAGCGAAGAGGGAAGGTGAGCTTCAGCGGGAGCGGATCGAACTCTCGCAGAACATCCATGACACCATCGCCCAGTCCGCCTACATGATTGGCCTCGGGCATCGAGACCGCGATAGAGCTGGCGAACGCCCCGAACGACGAGGGCCGCGACGAACTGATCGCCAAGCTGGAGGCGATTCATGCCCTGTCGAAGTCGACTATGTGGGAGTTGAGGCATCCCATCGACGCGGGCCCCATCTTCGAGGGCAGGGAGTTCGGCCGGGTGCTGAGTTCCCACGCCTCCACGTTCACCACTATCACGTCTATCCCCACCGAGGTGGAGCAGTCCGGCAGGGAGCCGCGGCTTTCCACTGTCACACGGGGGTTGCTTTTCTCGATAGCCCACAACGCCATGACCAACGCATTCAGGCACTCGCGCGCCGACAGGGTCGCCATTGCGCTGAGCTTCGATGCCGACAGGCTCCGAATGTCAGTATCCGACGACGGGATCGGTCTCCCCGACGACTACGCGGATCGCGGCCACGGATTCAGGAACATGAGAAGGGACGTCGAGCGAATGGGCGGCAGCCTCGAGGTGGGCCCGGGCGAGTCGGGACGCGGCACAAGCGTAACTTGCGTGGTTCCATATGACGCAAATCGAGGAGGCAAGTAGCTTGGCGACGGACAGACAGGTCAGGGTGATGGTCGTGGACGACCACGAGATCATGCGGGACGGACTGCGAGAGGTGCTCCAACGTACCGGGGATTACGAGGTGTGTGGCCAGGCCGGCGATGGTGTCTCAGCGGTGAACATCGCACTAGAGTTGAAGCCGGACGTTATCATCATGGATGTGATGATGCCCCTGAAGAACGGCATCGACGCGTGCAGGGAGATAACGGAGATGCTCCCGGACACGAGGTGCTGATTCTGACGGCTTCAGCAGAGGAGGATGCTGCGTGATGGAGGCGGTGGCCGCAGGAGCGACGGGCTTCCTTCAGAAGTACTCCGGTACGGCAAGAGAAGCTGCTCCTGCGTACCGTCCGGCGACTTGGCGATGGAGAGTTCCCACCCCCCGGCATTCCCGGCTACGTGATGAAGCGGCGTATTGTCCCCCCCGTTCGCCGGACTCCCCTCGCGGGCGTGCCGCAACCAGCCCCCCACGGGTTGAACAGGCTACACGCGCGGAACAGGAGATACTCACGCTGTTGCGCGGGGCCTGTCGTACAGCTGAGATCGCTGAGTCCATGGCAACCATCCGGTGACGATACGCAACGGCGTCTATCTACTGCATCCAGGATCAGCTCAGGCATCGATCGACCAGCAGGAGCTGTGGTGTGGGCGGTGCGTACACGGCCTCTTGTGGACGATATCAGATAGGAGATGAGTTTTCCATCATCATCCCATCACGTGCTCCACTCAATCCCGGATTGCGCTGAGGCGGACACGGCTCGCTGAGTCGCGGGAGCGCGATGGCGTCTGGTAGCGCATCACCGGTGTAGCTGACATCATGTTAAACGCTCTGACCGGGTATCTCGCTGGCTTGGTCGCTACAA